GAATTTATGAATGTGAAAAACAGCAGATTACTGGCAACCACAGCTGCTGGTATTTTTCCGTAAAATCTAAAAATGAAAAAAAAAAAGAAAGAAAAACACCAAAACAGTTTTTGTGTCGCCATTGTGGAGGATAATAGCGTCTCTGTTCAAGTCCAAGATGAACTGAGAGTATTAGATGTTATGCTGCAGCTTCTTTTGTTTAAAGGTAACTGTGTAGTTACTAATGCAGTCAAAATCTGTTTGCTAGTTGCATTCACACATGAAAACATTATAGCATCTAAAGACTTCACATTTTTTTGCATTAAGCTATGATTTTGCAAACTGAACATTGTGTTAGTTCATGAAATATGGTTATTTTTTGTAAATTTATACAGTTATATAAAACTTCCATGTTCTTTTTACAGAAAGATTCTGGCAACCACAGCTGCTGGTATTTTTTCGGAAATGTAACAGATATTTTACACAATAAGAGGTTGCAAATTAACACTCTCTTGGTGTTGACAATGTTAACACTTTCAAAAATGTTATTTTAACACTTATAGTGGTTCCCATATAAACTCTGAGGGAGTGTTAATTTTAACTCTAAGGTAGTTAAATTTACTATCTAAAATTTGCAGTGTAGGTAGTGAATGGGGAGCAGATAGGGTAGCATTAAACACAATTTATTGTGGTTGGATTAGATCAGTGATAGATTATGGATGTGTTGTATATGGGTCAGCAGCAGAGACATCTCTTAAAAACTAGACAAAATACAACATGAGGTATTAAGATTAAGTACAGGAGCAATTAAAACTACACCAATTACAGCACTACAAATTGAAATGGGGGAAATGTCTTTGGAAATGAGAAGAGTCCAACTATCCTTAAGTTACTGGGTAAATTTGAAAGGGCATAATCAAGAACATCCAACATTAGAAACACTAAAACCATGTTGGGAAAAAGAGAGGAAGGAAAATAAAAGTTTTGGATGGACAGTGTTTAAAAAAAGCAATAGAAATAAAAGTAAGTCAATTAAATATTAGTCCTACTGTACCCTTACCAGTAGTTAAACCATGGTTACTACCAGACGCATCGGTAGATTTTACATTATTAGAAAAGAGAGGAAAGGATGAGGAGTGTAATCTATTATATGTACAAAAGTATATTAATGAATTTTACAGTCATGTTAAAATATATACAGATGCCTCTAAGAGTTTAAATCGAGTAGGTGTGGCTTTTACAGTTACTGAATTTCAAATAGCAGTAGGAAAAAGGATTAGTGACGAAGTTTCTGTATATACAGGAGAAATGATAGCACTTTTATTAGCAATTCAATGGGTAGAGGAGATAAGACCTTTACAATCAGTAATCTGTTCAGACTCGAGTTCTTCACTTACAAGCTTACAATATAGTAATTCAGAAAGTAGACCAGACATTTTATTAGAAATAATGCAAACCTTGTACAGAATTCAAATGATGGGTCTAACAGTAATGTTTTTATGGGTTCCTGCGCATATAGGTGTTCAAGGAAATGAAATTGTAGATAAGGAAGCAAAACAAGCTGTTAAAAATAATGACATCAATCTAAATGTAAGTATAAGTAAAAGTGAAGTCAAGAGTATTATTAAGAAAAGAATATAGGAAAGGTGGCAAAGTCAATGGGACAATGAAAAAAAGGGCCGGTGTTTATTAATCTGGGTTCGCCACAGTGGAATGAACCACAAACTTATCCAGCATTTGTTTTTTACGCAGCAGATGCCCTTCAAGCTGCAACCCAACTCTGGGGAACACCTATACACACACACACACACACACACCATGCACAATTTAGCCTACCCAAATCACCTGTGCCACATGTCTTTGGATTTGTGGGGGAAACCGGAGCAGCTGTAGGAAACCCACTCAGATTCTAACTCAGATACTATCTGTGAAAACTAGAAACAACTACTAGAAACAACTTTAAACCCATTAAAGAAGTTGACGAAAAAGGGGAATTGTGATCACCGGGACTTATGGAAAGTACTAAGCCAACACAATCACTGTAATAGCAGATATTTTCTATGAGAATACTGTAGGTCAAATATATTCAGCTTAGTTAGACTTTTTTATTTATTGTTTTTATTTATATATCGCAAGTGCTCAAGGACGCTTTACAAACAGTAGGAGAACAAGAAACGCAATAACCTTAAGAAGGTAGAGAAAATGGGAGACTCAGGACCGTGCAGAGACCGTCTGAAGGGCATGTGCAGGATAAATTTTTTGAAGAGCGGGGGGGGGGGGGGGGGTGCGCGCGTACTGAAGAGCGGTGTTGTCGCGCGCGTTCTGATAAGCTGTGTAGTCGCGCGCGTACTCAGACCGGTGTTGTCACGCGCCTACTGAAGAGCGGGACCGAGAGTGTGCCGCGTCGCGGGGGCACTTTTGATCATTTTGGAAGGGCACTTTCTATCCAAGACTAAAAAGGGCATGTGCACTGCACAGGTTGAGCCCTATGTGTGCACGTGCCTGGGGAGACTAATAATAC